ATCAGATGATGACAGGGCACTCTAGGGTGGCATATGTTTTCAGTTAGACGGTTACGCTACCCTTGGCTGGCCTGTTTCTTCATGAGACTGGCAGTGAGTGTGCAGGAGGAAGTTGAAGGCTGATGTGGGTGTGTCAGTATGTATAGGACGGGTATGGTGGTAAAATGCTGTCAAAATTTTTTTTATGAAGTAATTTTTCTCTTGTTTTATAGTAAATATATCTAAAGATCTTCAAAGCCAGATAAATGTACTTTTAAAAACTACGCTTTTGCGCTGCAACATTTTGCAGGTGAAAAAAAGCAGGAACAGATGTGAGAAAAACTGTTAAATTATATAGGAATAACGCCAATGAAATAAACATCCAAAGATATTCCCAACTCTAACTTCTCTCCGAACATGGATAATTTAATAATATTGAAGTGAAGTGTTATGCAAAAATATGTAGACACATCAGAACAAGAGCCTCATCCATTGTGGATCTTCAGGTTTGATTTGTTGCAAAGTTTCAAAGCTCCGCCCACACAGAGATAATCGACGAATAAAGAGGCTTGCTATTGCTGAGTCACATTGAAATGACTGGATTTTTCTCACATCATTTTTGCCAAGCCTCATCAGGGCTGCCATTTTTTTGACTTGCCGAATACTTGCTTTATCTCTTCTACAATGGCATTGCTTTATATTCCTACGATGGCATCGATAGCTGAAAATTTTTTGCTTGCATCCACAACACTAGGTGTCAGTATAAGTCCCAGAGGACTGCAATATCAGCCAAGGCAACATTAAAAAGTGTAAGCGGATCCTTAATACATTAAATAATGCAAATTTGCTTCAAAATTATGCTTACGTGTTTTTCATGGAAAACAAGACCAAAATAGTGAAAAATAGGGAAATATTTTTTTTTCTTTACAGTGCAGTGCAGGCCCAGAGAATTCAAGGAACTGCTGAGTGGATTTTGTGTGTTAGAGGGTTTGGATGAATTTATACCGTGTTTTCTCTGTTTATTTGTGACAGTGGCTGAGAAAATATGAGTTTATTTGTTTGTTTAAATGTGGGTGTGACTGTGTAGGTGTCTTTTGTGTGCATGTGTGCAGTGAGAGCGCAGTTGCTTCTCTTCCAGAGGCAGTTTGTGATGTCCCTCCTCTGTGTTCCTGCAGATGGAGACAGATTGGAACGGTTACTGCAACAGGTCTGCTTTCACTTAGACAGGAGACAGCCGTGTGTATGCATGTGTGTGAGCCTGCCATAACCACTATTCCTGCCACTATCCTCTGTGGCTTCTTTACACACACAGTTTTTCCACTGTAGAATGGGAGTCTTTTCATATACAGTTGTCTGTCCTCATTATAGCCAGGAATCACAGATAACTGTCATTCACCAGAGCAGTGAACTACGAGAGGATTATGGGTACAAAAAGGACTATATAGAGAATTTGATAAAGGTAATTATTAGTTTAGTTTATGGTATTGCTGCTGTAGAGCAGGCTTTTTACACTAAGCGCCTGGTTCAAGGTTATAAAGTTTGGTTTCTTGTTAGGGCAACAGATTTGCACTGCAAAAATCATTTTCTCAATCAGTGTTTTTGTTTTATAAAGTGTTAATATTTTTAAAATAAGATAAATTTACTTGAGAATCAAAATTGTGTAAATTAATATCCTGTTTTCATAGAATATGATATTGCTTAGTTTCTTACTCTTAGTTCACTGAAAATGTTTTGAGCATGAACCTTACAAAATTTTGCAACATTTTGCCTGAGGGGGTTTTATCAATATACATTAAACATATATTATCTAAAAACAACCCCTTATTTTATTTTATTTTATTTCGATTTTAAAACTATTATATAGTTTTTCTTCAAAACAAGAAAAAAATACATTATACAAAACACACACACACACACACACACACTTCACTGCAGGCTCTGGGATTTAACATGAAAATATCAGACTCCCCTCAGGAAACTGGTATGGTGGTTTTGGCCCCAGCGTGTGGTCTGGCTTTTCACTCATCATCTTCCTGCCAAAATCATTTATTTCATTGTCATAATCATTTATCAAAGACAATACAATACTCTGTTAAGGCTCACAGCTCAATCGATGTACAGTCACATCTATCATGAGGACTGAGAGAAATCCAGACAGACAGAAAGAAACAGTAAAGGAAGGATATTCAATCAACCATCTGTAAAATTTAAAGCTGAATGATGTCATTTTTAAGTGTTCAGATTCTTAAATCTTAATGTACAACTGCGAATAAACCAGTTTTATGTTGATTTCCCGGAGAAGTGCTAAAAGTTGTAAACTGTGGCTTTATCAAAACATGTTTGTTTTGACCATCCTGACCAACAATGGTTCAACCAATGGCATGAGTTTGGGGCAGGGCTATCTGTCTAACGGTTCAATGTCAGAAAACTGTCATTATTTTTGCATTTCCATTTGGTACCACTAGTGACATAGAAATTGCAATTAACCTAAATTGACTTCAAAGAATCAGCAATAGTTCAAAAGTTTGTTAAAAAATAACAAATTTCTATGGTACTCTTCCCATAGCAGTGCATAGATATTGTTTAGCTTCCTCACACACACAAACAAATGCTCACATCCAAATCACATCACCGATCCCCTAGAGTGTGTTGGTGGCACAGACAGCAGAGTTGCACTACACAGAATGCTGCACCTCTGTGTTTCGCATTAGCATAGTGGTCTGGCCCCCTGATTAGCCACGATCATCACAAACAAGACATCAGTGATGCGAGGTGAGGCCCCACAAGCCCCTGGGAGCCCCAGATCACAGGCATGCTAATGAGGGCCCGCGTTACTGCGGTGTGAGGTGTCAGCCAGGCTTGTGACAGGTGCACAGAAGGGACGTTTGAGTGGGGGGGCGTGGGGGGGTCCGGAAGGGAGTGAAGGCATGTCGTAGTCCCCATGGCATCCCCTCGTCCTTTGTTCTTTATGCAAATCCATTGCTGTGGCTTTCGACAGCTAGGAATGTAGCGGGTTCGAGGGGCAGAGCTGTTAGAGTGCCAGGCCCGAGTTGTACACACACATATGCATATGCATATGTTGTTGCACTGCTATTTTAGAATTGTGACATCATAAAAGTTGTACGCATTTGCATGCGCATAAAATTCCTTGCACTGTGATATTATCAAGTGTTGATAATGGCTTGCATCGTGGTAAAAGTGTTACGTATTTACAGACGCTCATATATCCCTGCGTTGACATCATCATAGATGTTGCATGCATTCACAAATGCACTTTGCGATATGATTACCAAATGCTTAGAGCACACAAATAGATGTTATCACACTTTTGCATAAATAAAGTGACGTGACATGTGGCCAAGTATGGTGACCCATACTTGGAATTAGTGCTCTGCATTTTAACCCATCCAAAGTGCACACACACACACCGTGAACACACACCCGGAGCAGTGGGCAGCCATTTTTGCTGCAGCGCCCGGGGAGCAGTTGGGGGTTCGGTGCCTTGCTCAAGGGCACCTCAGTCGTGGTATTGAAGGTGGGAGAGAGCGCTGTACATTCACTCCCCCCACCTTCAATCCCTGCCGGTACGAGACTCGAACCCGCAACCATTGGGTTATGAGTCCGACTCTCTAACCATTAGGCCACGACTTCCCCCAACATAAACTCATATGCTGTGTGTTGTGACATCATCAGACAAGTTGCACAGATGCACTTTTTTTGCAATATAAAAAGTAAATCTCATTTGACAATGCAATGGCATCTATTTGTATGCAAATGCATGCAACCCAACATGTTGTAAACATTTGCACGCACATAGATGCTCTTGTGTTGTCACATGAGTTTTAAGCATTTGCATACCCTCATATGTCATTGCCTTGTGACATCATCAAACAAACTGCACGCATTTGCACATGCACTTGTCTTTGCGATATGATTACCAAACGAGTTTCACTCATTCGTACAGCTTATGTCATCAAACAAGTTGCATTGTGGCATTATCAAATACGTTGCACACATTCATACATGCACGTCGTTGCGATGTGACCATCAAAAGAGTTGCACGCATTTGCACACAGATATTTTTGCATTGTAACATCATGAAAGGAGTTTCACACATTTGCACACATGCATATATTTGCATTGTGGCATTATCAAACCAGTTTCATGCATTCGCACATGCTCATATGTCCTTGCGTTGTACCAAACGAGCTGCACATTATCGCACACACATATGTCCTTGCATTGTAACAACATCAAACGAGTTTTACGCATTCGCACATCATCACATGACTATTCCATTAGTCCAGCCTCAGTAAGTGATTGGTTCATGCTCGGGTAATGCTGGAGACAGCAGTAGCTAACACTAATGTTGCTTCCCTTGTGAAACAGCAGTGCTCGCAAGTCTGCCAGATTTGTTCGCAGATAATTAAAAAACACCCTCCAGCCCCTCCTCCTCACTCCTCTGTCACTGCATTCATGCTCTTAAAAGGAAATTAATTGCCACAAAATGTTGAAATCAACATATCTAAACCCAGGTTGGAGGTCCCCAAGGATGGACTAATTGGCCGTGAGGTTTTGTAATACTAAACCCGAGAGAGTGGATAAGTTTAGTGTAAGACCCCCTCTGTGTGCACACGCTCGTGTGTCATTAATCACGTATCCTATACTCACACACACGTAAAAAGACATGCACGTAGACATCCCAGCACTGTTTAACAGAATGAGGACGCTGCTGCAGAGTCGTTAGCACCATGCACACCAACAGCCAGCTCTGTAATATAACAGCCACAACTCAATTTAGCTGTTTAACCTGTAATCCTGGCAATATTTATTGAAGTGCAAGAGGGAAGAAAATTAGGCTATTAGGCTCTTGCAATTGAATACACTGAGAAGAGAAAAGACACTCTGGTAACTGGCAGTTGACCTCTGCGGCCCGCAGCGAACGGTTTCGTGAACGCGGACCACGGTAATTACTGCAAATTGAATCACAGAGCGAACAGCGATGATTCCGTAATGAGCACTTTTATTGGCTGGAGCTCTTTGCTGTGACATGGTCCTCCCAGGCCTCTGTAGTGGGGCACACACACACAGTAGGACCCAATGGACCATGATCAGACGGAGATTTGTGTTCCTGAGGTGCCTGATGGGTAATTTCACACCATCGTGCCACACAAGCTGCTGTCACAAGACATGGATCTCTGATGGGTCATTAGCATATCCTAACTTATTCACTATGGGTTTCTCTCCCTCGTTCTGGCTTGTTTGGAAAGTTGATGAAATTTGTCTTTGGTCGTCATTAAGTCTGCCTGTCTGTTAGCTGACACGGTCCCTTAGTAACATATGGTGTTTTTTGTATGATGTGATAGGATGCAAATTGCAGTAGCTCACGCACACAGTTATGTCAGGGGAAGAGCGCGAGCGCACACACCAAATGCATATATTTGTGCATGCACGAATGCTCTATTGCACACTTTTTGTCCATCCCACATTATGTTGAGTCTTTTACAGCCATCAGAGGGATATGGGATGTTAATGAGGCTTTTTTGGAACTAGAGTTGGGCGTAGAATATGTCTGTTGTTGATTTTATCCAGACTTGGGCTCCTGTCCAGGGCCTGAAAATGAAAATGAACAGCCTGTGTGTATTTTAGTATCTAATCTCTGCCACCTCTTTTTTCATGTCCCCTCAGTTTCTCTCTCTGTTACTCTCTTAGCGTCCAAAATCCCTCCCGCCAGGTGTCCATTTAAAGGCCAGCCAAACCAAACACAGGCTGTGGACCTGTCATGCACAACTGCTTCTACTTTCAGTGTCCTCCACTTTTCTTTTTACTGCATCAGTCAGGTGTTTATTAGGCAACTATATAGAAAAAAACAAGTAATAATAACATGAAAGTATTTTTTCATTGATGTGAAGTCATGCACATGACTGCATTGGCATGTATTTGCAAAGTGCATTTCACTGAAAATATCCCATCACACAAATGTAATTTTGTCAGTAGCTAACTGTGCACCTGACTATTGGTGCTTTTCCACTGCATGGTACGGCACGGTACGGTTCACTTTTGGGGGGTTTTCCACTGGGTACAGTACCTGGTACCTGGTACTTTTTTTAGTACCACCTCGGTTGGGGTTCCAAGTGAACCGTACCGTTACCAAAACGTGACGTGTAAACTCTGCTGATCACGCATTGGCCGGAGAGAATCGTCACTACCTGCGTCACTGAAATTGCACCACAAACACAACAGAACCATTAGATTAAAATCAGCACAGCCAGCGAATGATCGAACGCAACCAAAAAGTGGCTGTTTCGTTGTCTGTTGAGGAAGTACAGACGTTCCTCTCGTTGATAGCAGAGGAGCGGATCCACCGAGAGCTTGATAGGGCGACGCGGAATGAAAAAGTTTTTTAACTTGCGACACAAACACAAGAGAACCGCTAGATTTAAATCAGCACAGCCAGCGAAGGATCGAACGCAACTGTTTTGAACGAGCGCACCTTTTTTTAACAACCAAAAAGTTTTGTTGTCTGTTGCGGAAGTACAGACGTTCCTCTCGTTGATAGCAGAGGAGCGGATCCAGCGAGAGCTTGATGGGGCGACGCGGAATGAAAACGTTTTTTTTTTAGGAGTCGTGGTAGTAGAGGCGGCGCAGCTATAACGACATGTGAATAATCCCGCCCACTCTAAAGCGGTACTGAACTGCAGTGGAAACGCAAACCGTGCCGAGCCAAACCGTGCTGTGCCGTTCTGAGCCGTACCGAGCCGAGTCGTACCACGCAGTGGAAAAGCGCCATATGTCAGTGTATGGACCTGTCAACACGATTCCCTTTCATTTTCTTTCTTTCTTAATCCTCTCTTTCTCTTTCTTTTGTCACAGAATTATCTCCATATGGAAATAGTGAAGGGTTGGGGTGTCGGGGTGTTGAATGGGAGTTCTATATTAATGCCTGGCTGACATTAGTATTAACACAATGCATTGTGGCCTGTGGGCGATACCTGCCATCTGCATTAGGCTCCAGCCCTTAGGGAGCTTCCCTGATCTCACTAACCCCCTAGTGTGACTCAGATTCTGGGTGAGTCACATACAGGCAGATCCTCTTTGACACAGCTTTAGAGAGCAGCCGGCCCTGCCGCACAGTAGATAACCCGCTAGGCTATCAGAGAGCTCTTGTCTCCCCTCTTAAAGTGATGTAATTTTCAGTCAATCTTATAAAATGGCTGTCGCCGCACCGCAATTAGATGTCTTTCACATGTTGCCTGTTTAATTTTTAAACAGAAATGATCCATGAACCTCACCATAGAGGACTCTTAGCTTTGATTACATTCAAAGCCATCACTGAGAAAAAAACAGATGCGCAAATGACATGGAAAGCTATTAAAGTGTGCTATCTCAACCTCCCCTTGCACCAAATCAGAGAATTAATAGCTAATATGTATATATTAATTCCGTCCACTTGTTTTGTGTCTTCCAGGAAAAGATGAGCCCTCCAGCTACATCTGCACCACTTGTAAGCAACCCTTTACCAGTGCATGGTTTCTGCTGCAGCATGCACAGAACACCCACGGGATACGCATCTACCTGGACACCCACCCTACTAGCTGTTCGCTTACCCCTCGCATGGCCCTTCCTCCACCTCTGGGGGCTGATGCCTTGCCCCGTTCCCCTCTAGCCAGCTTTCTGGGCGATGGCAGCAACCCTTTCCATCTGTTGCGTATGGGTGCCCCACTGCTACGAGATCCTCCACCACCCGGATACATTGAAACCCGATTGCCATCTACCCCGCCCTTTGTAAGCCCTCCGCCACCCCGCCATCCTCTGGAACGTCTTGGCCCTGAGGAGATGGGTCTCCTGTCCCAGCATCCAAGTGCTTTTGAGCGGGTGATGCGGCTGACACCCATGGGCATTGAACCATCCATGGGCTTCTCTCAGCGTCTTCGTGAATTGGCGGGCAACAACAACAATGGTGGTCCCACTCCCCCTCTTTCACCTAACCGTGTGCCCCCCATGCATCGGCTTCTCAGCCCCACTCTGTTCCAGCCTGGCTCCAAACCTCTACCTTTTCTAACCACACCCTCACAGCCGCCATCAATTCCATCCAGAGGCAATTCTTCACCACCACTAAATCAGGTCGGCAAAGCTAAGTCCTGTGAGTTTTGTGGCAAGACTTTCAAGTTCCAAAGCAACTTGGTTGTGCACAGACGTAGCCACACTGGCGAAAGACCCTATAAGTGTCATCTCTGTGACCATGCATGTTCGCAGGCCAGCAAGCTAAAGCGCCACATGAAGACGCACATGCACAAGTCAGGCTCCATGGGGAGTTCACCTGAGCAGGGAGGGCAAGACTCGGCTGGAGAGGGGCTTAAGAACAGTGAGGAAAATGGCACAAGGGAGGTATTGGATAATGAGGAGGAAGAAGAAGAGGAGGAGGAAGAGGAAGAGGAGGAGGAAGAAGAGGAACAACAGCAAAATGGAAGCAGGCCTGAATCCAACCTGAGCATGGACTCGGAGTTGAGCAGAAACAGAGAGAATGGCCCAAGACCCTCCCCAGAGGAGAAACCAATGACCACTGACAGAGTGACAGAAAGCTAATACAACAACCTTGACAATCACTTCAGACTGCCACCGGGCAGCAGGCCATGCAAGGAGATGGACACAGATTCAGCATCCAGAGAGACTGACAGAAGCAGGGGGCCCATGGTGAATGGCAGAGGCTGCGGCCCGGAGGTTCCCATCTCAGCGTTGTTCCACCGGAAGCCAATGCCTATTTCCAGCTCCAGACTCACTGGGTCTTCCGCCAAGAGGATCAAAATAGAGAAGGATGCGGAGCTGCCTCAGGTGCCTGTAATATCCCCTGAAAATGTGTATTCTCAGTTGCTTGCCAGTTATGCTGCATCCCACCACTTCATAAGGGAACCCTTCCTGGGCTTCAACGACTCCAGGCAGTCACCTTTTGGCACTTCTTCCGAGCACTCTTCATCGGAGACAGGCAGCCTGCGCTTCTCCACCCCTCCAGGGGAAATTCTGGAAGGCGGTGGGATGTCGGGGCGAAGTGGCAGCAGTACACCTCACCTCCATCTGCGGGGTCCTGGGCCAGGGAGACCACCCTCTAAGGAGAGTCGACGGAGTGACACCTGTGAGTACTGTGGTAAGGTGTTCAAGAACTGCAGTAATCTGACCGTGCATCGGCGCAGCCACACAGGTGAGAGGCCTTACAAGTGTGACCTGTGCAGCTACGCTTGTGCCCAGAGCAGCAAGCTTACCCGGCACATGAAGACCCACGGGCAGTTTGGCAAAGAGGTGTATCGCTGCGATATTTGCCACATGCCCTTCGGCGTGTACAGCACCCTGGAAAAACACATGAAGAAGTGGCATGGAGAGCATTTGCTGACCAATGAGGTCAAACTTGAGCATGCTGACAGAGCTTGAGACCACTTACCAATGCACTGCATTATGGGTTTTAGCTGGATAGTCTTTTTCTTGACTATATATTTTTTGGAGTGATTTGATTTTTTTTTTTTTTGTGAAAACAAACTGCCACCTGAGAAACAAGAACACAGGGAAATGTTAGTCTGCGGTTCTAAAACCCTTCTTGCATATCCCAGCAACTAACAGAGGAGTAGTCCATTAGGAATTCATGGAGCCTTTCTACTGTGCAATAATTTCTGTATTTATTGGATTATTTGTAATGATACATGGCATGTGCAGGTACATTATCGATGGGTTTCTAATGCATTCAGTTCCTGAAATTATATTTCTACACCCCATCTTATGATGTGACAAATACTGAGATTTTGGCATTCAGCCAGTTTTGTGTTATAAACTAGTTTCCTCAAAGGAAACAAATGGGTAATTTCTAAAAGAAGAGTTCAGCTTCTAAAAATCTGAGAAGGTTTTCATGTTATTGTTGCTGTCATTGGCCCCACTCATCATGGGTTATATTCAGTAGATAGATGTAAAGCACTGAATGTCACTTTGACAATAAAATAGTCAACAATTTTAAGGGGCAAAAAACCCAGGGATGTTTAAAGGAAGCTG